ACCAAAACAAGCAAATCGATCGAGACATCCTCAAAATCTGGCCCACCTGGGTGGTGAAAATGAGCGCCTCGCTCGAGACATCCTCCAAATCTGCTCCGAAAGCGAAGGATTATGAGCCCAGAAACAAGCAAACCGCCTGAGACATCCCCACAAAATGGCCGCGAACGAGCCCGTGCAACCACCCCTGGCGGCTCCCCTTAGGGCCACGAGCCTGGCCACCAAAAACTAACAAACCGATCGAGACATCCTCAAAATCTGGCCACCTGGGGGGTGAAAATGAGCGCCTCGCTCGAGACATCCTCCACAATCTGCTCCCAAGCGAAGGATGTTGAGCCAGAAACAAGCAAACCGCCTGAGACATCCCCACAAAATGGCCGCGAACGAGCCCGTGCAACCACCCCTGGCGGCTCCCCTTAGGGGTGCTGAAACCAGCGCCCCGCCTGAGACATCCTCACAATCTGCTCTCCAAGCGAAGGATGTTGAGCCCGGAAACAGGCAAACCGCCTGAGACATCCCCACAAAATGGCCGCGAACGAACCCGTGCAATCACCCCTGGCGGCTCCCCTTAGGGGTGCTGAAACGAGCGCCCCGCCTGAGACATCCTCCAAATCTGATGTGTGTTGAGTAAGTCTGAGTATGAGTAGGTCTGAGTATGAGTATGCCTGAGTATGAGTAAGTCTGGGTATGAGTAAGCAGGAGGGAATAGGGGAACAAAAAAAGACACATAAACATAAAAACTCGGAGGTCCGCGCGGATTTCTCGGATCGGCGCTGAGGCCCCCCGGCGGCGCCTCCGGCGCCGCTCCTGGCGCGCCGGAGCGCGCCAGGGAGGGGGGCCTCAGCGCCGATCCGAGAAATCCGCGCGGGCCTCCGAGTCTCTGTGCGCGGGGGGCGGTCCAGGACACGATAGACAAAAAAAGTACCCCCTAAGCCTTTGGAAGGGGACCGAGGTTAGGAGGGCCAAAGCGTGCACGGCGTCCTGGCCGCGGCCGCACGCGGGCGGCCCCCAACCAAAAGGCATGTCTCCCGACCGAGCCGCGGGGGTCGTGCGGGGGTGCGGCTCGCGTTGCGGGTGCCCACACAGAGCGGTCCAAGAGACGATAGAGTGGAGGCCCGTCCACAAGAAACATTCCACGAGAAACCCAACCCTGAGATCCAAGGGCGTCCTCTGATTTTGTTTAGTGTGGGAACGGCGCGCCCTCCAGCGCAAAGCCATCGAAACCCAAGAGACCCAGGGCACCCTGGAGGCGAGCAGGGTGTTTCTCGGCATGGGCCCCCACTGCACAGTCAACCCGCATCATGAGGATACACGATCAGGATGCAGGGGCCTTGGACGCCCACTTCGAAGCTTTCTGCGAGGAGCGCGGCCAAGGAAAGGCGTCAAGGATGGACCGAGGAGACAAGGACGCCAGGGTACCCTTGGGAAGGTTGCCCATTGACTGCAAACGAAAAAAGTACCCCGAACCCTTTGGGAGTGAACCTACGTCGAGAGAGCCAAAACATTAGGGATAAAGGGGTCCTTTGCTGCAGCTGTATCAGACCAAACCGCCCATATTTGTTAACGTCTTCACCACGTTATTAATGTAAGGGGTTCGTTTACCCTCGATGAAGACATGCGACGAAGCCAGGACGAGGATAAATTCGGGTGAGGACAAATCGTGAACCTCTGAGATCTGGCAGCTCTGGAGCATGTCTCAGGCGCCGCGGCCTTCTCAGAGCGTTCCGGGACGCTCTGAGAGCGTTCCAGAACGCTCTGGAACGGATTTGTCTTCCTCCTAGCCCCGTCTGAAGACACGTTCCCCGAGCTGTCCGTTGACGCCCAGTCGGTCAAATGGCGGGCACGGCATAACACCCAGATCCGCCGAGAATCGGGCACGTGAGCACTGCAAACAGGACGGGACATCGTACCACTATCACTATGCACCATAACACCGCCAGTCCTGAGAGCATTGCCCGTCACCAGTGTGCTGGTGGCCAGCTCTTCCCTCTCGGCTGCTCTCCTCCCCTCCTGGCTGCGAAAGGGGTTCAGAGAGAGACAGAGCAAAAGAGAGAAAGAAAAAGAGAGCGAGAGAGAAAGAGAGAGCGAGAGAGAAAAAGAGAGCGAGAGAGAACTCAAAAAAGGGAGAGCGAGAGAGAGAGAGAGAGAAAAAAAAAAAAAAAAGAGAGAGAGAGAGAGAAGTAAAGAAATCAGGGGGGGAGAGAAGGTCCAGAAGCAGCTGCCAAAAGGCTCGAGCCAGGACCGACAACCACGCACTCCAACACGGTGACCCGTGACTCGGAGCGCGACGGTGGTCGTCCCCGCACTGCGCCGCGAGAGCACCCGGGAGGCCCGGCGGGCGGAGCAGGGCCGCCGGAGCGAGGGTCAAAGAGCACGAGCCCCTCCTCCGCAGGCAGGAGGGGGAGGAGGAGGAGGAGGAGGAGGAGGAGGAGGAGGAGGAGGAGGAGGAGGAGGAGGAGATGCCCGAAACGGGGCACAGTCCGAGGGTCAAGGAACACGAGCCCCTTCTTCGAAGGCAGAGGGGCCCGTGGAGATGCCCGACACGAGGCACAGTCCGAGGTGGAGACGGAAAGCCCAAGCTCGCAGGACACGAGGCATTGGGCCAGGTGAGACGAAGCAAGGACGAGGATAGCATCGGACGACAAACTGAGAAGATTTGAAATCCGACGGCTCTGGAGGATCGGGCGCCGCAGCCTTCCCAGAACGTTCCGAGACGCTCTGGCAGCGTCCCGGAACGCTCTGCAACGGATGTGTCCTCGTCGTAGCCCCGCCAGACCAGGGTTGCTCCTAGCCCTCGTGTCAGCTGTACTCCCCTCAGATCGGGCATGTCCTTCTACAGGCGGAATTTAGAGCAAAGATAAGAAATAGTCAAAAAGAATCTAAAACAGTCCAAAGAGCACCAAAATTCGGCACCCGACGATTACGATTCTTGAACACTCCTCCTGTTAAGGGAAATGCCCGACGGAATACTCCCCTCCTCCGGCAGGCGCCTGGAAGAGACCGTGGAGGTCGAGGTCTGCCATGGACGACCTCACCGGAATCAGCAGCGTGTCGAGCTTCTTGCCGACCTGCGAAGGGGCCCGACCCCCAGGCGCGGCAGAATGCGCGGGGCGCCCGTCGGGCAGGATCCTGGGAGTGGGCCATGCGCCATGTCAGAACCTTCGGCGGCAGCTCACGGGAGCCTCCCGTGCCATCTTGCTGGCTCCCGCGAATCGACGCCAACCGACGCGAATCGACGCTAACCGATGCCAAATCGACGCTAGTCGACGCTAAGTCGGAGCTGTCATCGATTACCAGACGCTAGCGCACACTCAGGCACTCTGAAAACAGAATCACGAGGACATACAAGTCTAGAACCCTCACAGCAGTGACACGCAAGAAACACATGCGAGAAGACATTTTGCTGTGAGAAGTCTCAAAGCACACTCGTCGTCCATCCTTAGCTTCCTCAACCGGCCCAGGAGGCCCCAAAAGGGCGCCCAGCAAGACGCACGAGGCATGCGAGGGCCCTCCAGAAGACCCCTCGCAAATCCAAAAAATGGAACGCCTTGCGCTTTCAGTGTTTCCGGCCTGTTGCCTGTTGTCATTTTCGCCCCGGGAGACCGCAGGAGGACCCAGAGTGTTCCCCAAGACTCCCCCGAAGCGGCTGCTAAAAGGCCCGAGATTGGCCCCAAGATCCGCCCCAGGACGGAGGAGGAAGGGGAGGAGGAGGAGGAGGAGGAGGAGGAGGAGGAGGAGGAGGAGGAGGAGGAGGAGGAGGCCTCCCCAGGACATCGCCAAAGCTTCCCGAAGACCCGCCGAAGACCGCCTCGAGACGGCCCCGGGGACCCTCGGCGGCCACGGAACTCCCAAGGAGGGCCCCCAGAGATGCCCGCGAGAGGCCCCCGAGCAGGAGGCCCCCGAGCACGGGGCCCCTTTGTGGGCCCCGGAAACGGCAGGGCCGTTTTTTCACTGTTTCTTCACTGTTTCCAGAAAAATGTCCTTTGAACATGGAAACGGCAAAAAAAAACGGCGACTGGAAGCGGCAAAAAACAGCTCCAGGATTGGAACCGGAGCCGGAACCGGTCAAAAAACGGCGACGGAGCCGGTAAATAAACGGCGTCGGAACCGGCAAGAAAACGGCAGAACGGAACCGGTAAAAAAACGGCCCTGTCGTTTCCAGGGCCCACTAAGCGAGGCCCCCATCTGGCCCAGAGAGGGAGAGCTGTCAAGCCTTCAGACCCTCTTCGAGTCGGGGAAGGCGAGCGTGGCATGCCAGGAGATGCTCCGGACGTGGGAAGCGAGCTGCCACGTCAGCTCACGGCCCTCAGAGCTCCGGGGAAAGAGAGGCGTCACACGTTATGATCTCTGGGCGCTGAGGAAGGCAAGCATCACCTGTTGCGTCGTCCTCCAAACTGGCGAGACTACTTGCCGCATGTTGCGGCACTCCGAGGTCGGGGTGAGAGAGGTGTCGCATGTTACGGACCTGTGGGCAGTTCCAAAAGACTCGCCACGCGGAAAGCTGCACTGGAGCGGTGCCAGAACTTGCAGCAAACGTCCGAACAAGTAAGAGGTCGCGCTGGCAAGTCGTGGTGGGATGGTGCAGGGGATGTACCCATCCGCTGCTGACCAGTCATGCGAAGTAAACGCACAAGAGAAGTTAGCTCCGGCATGAAACATGAGCCGTGGGGACGGAGGCATTGCTGGGAGAATTCTATACTTTGCTTGTACTGCTTACCTGGAGATATTACTTGGTGTGCTTAGCCGAGGGCAAGACAGGAACATCGTCCCCGGGCAAACGATTCGCACCGCAAGTGGGGAATACTACACCTTATATATATATATATATATATATATATATATATATATGCGTATATCTGAATGTGAGCCTGCGTGGACCACAAACACTGGTTTCTTGGAATATACATAGATACACATTTATTATCTTGCACAGGGTGTCTAGAACTCAGACCATTTTACTCCGCGTCGCACACACACACACACACACACACACATAGGCGTCCCCGGCGCCAGAGTGGGACCCCCGCGCCGTGGCTCTCTGCCCCGAGCCCCCCCCGCGTGCCCAGCGCCCCCGCGAAAACCCCGCCCACTGCCCCCTCCGCCACGAACGCTTTATTCCGCGTCGCACCCACCCCCCCACCCCGCGTCCCCAGCGCCAGAGTGGGACCCCCGCGCCGTGGCTCTCTGCCCCGAGCGCGTCCCCAGCGCCCCCCGCGTCCCGCAGCGCCCCCCAGAGTGGAACCCCCGCGCCGTGGCTCTCTGCCCCGAGCCCCCCCGCGTGCCCAGCTGCCCGCCCACTGCCCCCTCCGCCACGAACGCTTTATTCCGCGTCGCGACGCACACCACCTCCCCCACCTCCCTCCCGCGTCCCCAGCGCCCCAGTGGGGGCTCCGCCCCGTGCCCCCTCCGCCCCGACAACTTTATTCCGCGTCGCGGCGCACACCACCTCCCCCCCTCCCCCCCCGTCCCCAGCGCCCCAGATGGACCCCCGCCCGTGGCCCTCTGCCCCATGCCCCGCCCAATGCCCCCTCCGCCCCGATCAGTTTATTCCGCGTCGCGACGCACACCACCTCCCCCCCCCTCCTCTCCGCGCCCCCAGCACCCCAGTGGGACCTCCGCCCCGTGCCTCCTCCGCTCCGAGCACTTTATTCCGCGTCGCGACGCAGGCCACCTCCCCCCCCCTCCCCACCTGGGATTCGGGCCCCGTTGCTGGGCCCCGAGGGGCGATGTCTTGCCCCCTCTTCCCTCCTCCTCCTCCTCCTCCACCTCCTCCTCCCCCTTACTTTTTGTGCAAGAGCCATGGCACACGTGCCACTTGTATAGACATGAATGCGGTGCTGTCTAGGTGGCGCAATCAATGTGGTGCAACCTAGGTGGTGCAATCCATGTGGTGCCATCTGTGTGGCACACAGCAGTGCAAACCAATTCGAAGCAATGCAAAGGAATTCGAAGCAATGCAAAGCAATGCAAAGCAACGCACTGTAATGCAAAGCAATGCCAAGCAACGCAAAGCAATGCCAAACAGCGCAAAGCAATGCAAAGCAATACAAGCATGTGCAAAGCAATGCAAAGCTATGCACTGCGATGCAATGCGAACCGAATGCAGTGCAAAGCAGTGCAAAGTAATGCAGAGCAAAGCAATGCAGAGCAATGCATGGCTACGAAAACCAAAGCAAATCTCTGCAACGGCGGCGACGGACGGGAACGGGGCCGCCCGGCCCGCAGACGGACCCAGCTCCCTAAAAGACAAGCAAGAATCCCTAAGTGCAAGCACTGTTTGGGGAATCTGTGTTTACATGAACAGACATACAGTCAACCCGTATAGTAAGGATGTGCGATAAGGATGCAAGGGCCTTGGACGCCAATTTCGAAGCTTTTCGAGCGGGGCGCCGCCAATGAAAGTGGCCAAGGATGGACCGAGGAGACAAGGATGCAAGAGTGCCCTTGGGAGGGCTGCCCATCCTTACCATACGGGTTGACTGTACACACGCATGTTCCTATACGGTGGTGGCATTGGGTAAGAAAGCATTGGATAAGGAATCCGGAGTCTGGAACTCCAATCGTGGATTGGCCATGGATATCACCGCCGCTCTCAGCAGATAAGGAGCTCTCCAGAGTGTGCAGCCTCCTTCGCACATTCCTTAACGAAGCCCCCCCGTACCCATATGCATGCATGACAAACAAACCGAAAGGGGCTGGACAAAGCATTGTCGGCACTTATCGACATCCGTGTTTCGCAGTCCCCCCCTTTGCGGGTATTATGGAAAGGGGTAGGTAGGGAACGGTCAAACAGCCCCTGGCCAGGCTAGAGACAATACAGAGATCGAGAAAGTTTGCTGCAGCTGGATGGTAAGATGGTTGTGAGGCTGGGCGCGGGGGTTTTTTGGGCGACCACGTGAAAGGCCAGGAAGAGCAGGGACCGAGGTAAATCATGCGCGCATGCAGCGCTATGCTGACCTCTGAGCTCGGAGTGGGTCTGCATTTGGGATCGCACGACCTTTGCGAGGGCGAAGTCGAGGCCCTCCTGAATGTGCGTCAGCTGGTCCAAGGACTCAACGATACCGTTACTGATCTCGGAGATCTTCGTACTGAAGCTATCCAAACCATGCGAGACGTTCGTCCCGACCGAGGCCCAGCCGCGGACCGAATGGCCAAGACTGTGAAGGCCCTCTGTCTGCTTGTGGGTGCCAGCCAACACAAGAGATTGGCAAACTAAGGCAGCGATTGCAAAAAAAATGGTTAGGTATGGGATGCTCCTTTCATGGCGCTCTTCCGCCATGTCCTATACGGTTAAGTACACAATATGGATGTCATTGTGGCATGACTGTCGCACACCTTGCCGAAACGAGCTTGAGCCCGTAATGGCTTCGGGACAAGCAGGGTATGCAGAAATTGATGGAAAATGCCAAGCAGGAACAACGAAAGGCCAATTCAGATGCGCTCCACATCGCGTCCACTCTGCTGGCATGCCAATCCGTCCCCTCGATCTGCTCTGTCACTACATCTGATGATGCGTCCAGATCTGTCGTCACTCCTCGCCAGTCCTCGCTCCCACTCTCCCCCTTCACCTCCTCTCACCCATCCTTCTTGTACACCTCATCCTCTTTCTCCTTTCCCTCCTCCTCCGACCGAAACTCGAAGTGCCGCAGGGGCCAACCTGGGACCACGACTGGGGCGGCAAACTCAAATCGTTGAATTTCGAGGGCCAGGAAACAGTCAGGACTCCGTCTGCGAAATCGAGCCCGGAAGCTCACGAAACCCCGAATGGCCAGGAGGGGACACTACCAAATCGCCTCTTCAGGCTCAAAGCCCAGCCGTTTGCGAACGGCCGGGTGGAGGTCAAGACATGGATCACTAGAAAACGAAAAAGCGACATGAACATAAACTTTTGGCGCTCCACGCGAATTTCTTGGATCTACGCTGGGCCCCCCCTCCCTGGCGCGCGGAGCGCGCCGGAAGCGCCGCCAGGAGGGTCCAGAGCGGATCCGCGCGGACCTTCGAGTTCTTATGTTCATGTCGTTCTTCGCTCCCCCAAAGAAATGGATCCCGAAACTCACAACTACGGCAGGGTCTGGCAACCCCGAAAGCAAACATCTGAATATCTCTAACAAAGGTGAAGGGGCCCTGGGACACACAAATCAATACACACAAATAAAAACATCCCCCATATTTCCCATATTTTCTGGGTTTCTGCCTTCCCGTCCAGTGCCCATAGTTTCCCATATTTTCTGGGAGATCGGCGATGAGCTGTGCCTGTGTGCTTCTTTCCCTCCTGAAAAGGGGGTGCACCGCGCCCTTCCGCCAGCTGGCTCCCGCCAGGCCTTCCGCCGGCCTCCGCCGGCGGCGCGCACCGCCGCCGCCGCCCGTCCGCCGAGGAGGCTCGACGCCAGCGCCTCCGCCAGCCCACTGCGGCAACTCACGGGGGCCTCCCACACAGTCGGGGCGTTGACCTAAAGGAACCCAAAAATAAGGAACGAGGCCCCTTTTTGCCATAAGTTAAACTTCGATTTCCCATGGGAAACCTCAGGAACACCCGAGGCAAACCGTAAAACAATCAAGGAACACCGAGCCCCTCCCGAACGAAAAGGGTTCCTTCTTCAGCGCCCCGACTGTACCATCCTGCCGGCTCCTGCGAGCCGACGCCAGTCGACGCCAAATCGACGCTAGATCGACGCTAGATCGACGCTAGAATCGGCGCTAGATCGGCGCTAGCTCATCGACTCTCAGACGCCGATCGACGCCAGTCGACGCTTAAGACGGAATTCAATGTATACCAGGCTCCCATGATTTGCTACCGAATCATTCCATGGCGAGACCCATTGAGTCGGCGACGAGCGAGGGAGGGAAGCGAGCAGGAGAAGGCCCTCTCAGAAGGCGGCGGGGCTTCTCCGAAGCCCTATCCGGCCTTCTGAGAGGTGTTCTACGTCCCCGGGGGAGACTCCGAGAACTTCCCGAAAGCCGGGAGACTTCCGAGCCTTCTGAGAAGGCCCGCCCCCTCTCGCTTTCCCCCCCCGGCTCGCCGCCGAACGACGAGACCTTTTGGAGCGTCCCACATCGAGGGCAGCGCGGGATCGTGACCGCCAAGGCTTCCACGGGCCACGCCAAGGCGGCTCTGGCCGGCAAGACCTCGACGACGAGGGGCACCTGCAGGGCCACGGGAGACCGCCGCAGGCCCTGGCCCAGGGCAGGAAACCCCATCCTGACGCTCACAGGGCCACCCAAGGAGGAGGAGGAGGAGGAGGAGGAGGAGGACGAGGAGGAGGAGGACGACGACGACGAGAAGGGGGGGGAGGAGGAGGAGGAGGAGGAGGAGGAGGAGGAGGAGGAGGAGGAGGGAGGAGGAGGAGGAGGAGGAGGATGGAGGAGGGAGGAGGAGGAGGAGGAGGAGGAGGAGGAGAAGGAGGAGAAGAAGGGGGGGGGGGCACGGATCGCACGGCCCGTTCTGGAGACCCTGGATCGAGAAAAACATTCGCCGGCGGAGCCTCTTCCGCCGCCCCTCCGCCGCCCCTCCGCCGCCCCTCCGCCCTGCGGAGAAGCGCCCAATCCTTCGACCCTCGACGGCGCGGCCCTATCTGGAGCGCCCCACATGGCGGCAGCGGGTGGCGCTTTACGACTGCACGCGGTCCGAGGTGCAGACTTCACAATGGACGCCACAAGACGCACAAGTGCAGCAATCGGACGGGAGGGGAAGGAGGAAGAGGGAGAGAGAGAGAAGGAAAGAGAGAAAGAGAGAGGGGGGGAGGGAGAGAGAGAGAGAGGGAGAAGAGAGAGAGAGCGAGCAAACACAGACCCTCAGGGGGTCATCTCGCAGGGAAGCTCGGGGAGCGGCGCCTTTTTCCTGGCCACCCCCGTGGGACCCGAGCACAGCGTCGCGACCACAGCCCCTGGGCGCCCCCGTCTGCCTCCTAGCTGGCTGTGCGCTGGGGAATTGTTGGTGCAGTGCCCAGGCAGAGGAGTGCAAGAGGTGGCAACCAGGGAAGGGGACTAGACGAGCGCGTTCCACTACTCGCCAAGTCACTACTCGCAAATGGCCAGGCCGCCGAGGAAGATCTGCGACCAATTACACCGAGGCGAGCACGTTTTTTTGTTCATGGCGTTTGCGAGTAGGCACTTTGCGAATAGGGGGGTAGAGAGGGAAGCGGAGGAAAGCATGAACAATATGAGCATCAGTCGTTGGAGGTCCGCGCGGAATTCTTGGATCGGCGGTGGACCCCTCCGGCGGCGCATCCGGCGCCTCCCCTGGCGCGCTCCGCGCGCCAGGAAGGGAGGTCCAGCGCCGACCCAAGAAATCTGCGCGCACCTCAAAAAACTGGTTCTTATTAGCTGTTTTTTTTCCTCCGGTAAGAGAGATCTGGCGCGAGGGCCCCGAGCGGGAGTGAAAGCCACACAAATCTCGGACCTGAGGCCGAGCCGAGACAAAGGTACGTCAGGTTCACGCCCGCCCTGTTGGCGCGATGCGTTCGTGGCAAACTCGCTAGTTTGACCCTGTAGCACGCCCTTGTGCAGGTGTTATTTCAGCCAGCGGTTGTGCCCGCGGCCCATCACACTCGTCACGTCGAGCCTCCGCCGCGACGACGTCGACGCCCATCGGTCTCTGACACCGCGTGGACCGCTTGACCCTTGGACGATCGCGATCGGACGATTCCGGGCCACTGGCGGCGCGCACCCTCCAACGCCGCGCGCTGGGGCCCTTGCCGAGGCAACGCGGCTCGAACCTGCCGTCTGAGAGCAGGGCAGTGGGGAAGGGGCTCGACCTGGACTCGGAGGCGCCGGGCAAGAGAGGGGGGGGGGGGGCGCGATCCGCGCGGGTCGCGGGCGCTGCCTCACGGGCTGTAACAATTTTCTGCTTGCTCGCTGCCTCGATGGGGGCCTTGTGGGACGCCTCGTCAGCTGACCGGCTCGCTGCCTGGCTGGCAGCCCTGCTGGCTCTCTCGGTGGCTGCCTGGTTGACTGCTCGCCTCGTTGGCCGCCTCGTTGGCTGCCTCGCTGGCGGGGGAGGGCAGGGAGCGGGCGGCGGGCGATGGCCGCAGGGGCCTCAGGTGCCCCACTCCGGCGGCGGGGCGCCGAGGTCGGCTCGCGGGCAGCGCGTTGCCTGGCTCTCTCGGGGCACGCGCAGGCCTCCGCGCGGCCCTGCCTTGATCCTGAGCACTGGTCTCCCGAGGCCAGGAGGCCAGTGAAGAACAGCACGCCTTCCAACATGTTCGATCCCCGAGCTCTCTTGGGACAGGATGGCACCCAGACCGCACGAAGACCCTTGGGAGCCCAGGAGGCCCCAAGGGGCCTCCAAGAGGCCCTCGGAAGCACCCAGCAGGCCCGCAAGAGGCCCCAAAGAGGCCCGCAGACCGGTGGCGCTTAGTGGCGGTAAGAAGAAGGACGGTCCCTGCAGGAGCCCAGGCATTCGCGAGAGCAGCGCCGTCGAAGGCGCCTGCACGTTGTGGGCAGGATGGACGGTGAGCGATCGACGTGCTTATCCATACCCCAGCTCACGCCAGAACTATACTACGAGGGGGCGGAGCAGGGGCATGGATGGACATCTGGAACCAGGGGCACGGATGGAAATCTGGCCACTGGAGGCCAGGTCGTTCCCCCATGCCTTGCCCCCACTGGCGGCCCGCGTGCAGGGCAGCAGCATGGGCATGAATGGAGCGTCGATCGACGGTCCTTTCCCAGGGAAGGGCGTGCGCTGATGCTGCTGTTGATGATGCTGATGCTGATTATGGTGATGATGCTGCTGCTGATGATGATGGCGATGGTGATGGTGATGATGCTGCTGATAACGATGATGCTGATGATGCTGCTGCTGCTGATGATGATGTTGATGATGATGATGATGATGATGATGATGATGATGGTGATGATGATGATGATGATGACGATGATGATGATGCAGATGATGATGATGATGATGATGATGATGATGATGATGATGATGATGATGATGATGATGATGATGATGATGATGATGATGATGATGATGATGATGATGATGATGATGATGATGATGATGATGATGATGATGATGATGATGATAGATATGATGATGATGATGATGACGATGATGCTGCTGATGATGAGGATGATGAAGATGCTGATGATGATGACGATGATGATGACGATGCTGATGATGACCCGGTCCCTCCGGCTTGGAGAGACCGGGCACGTCGACCATCCGCCTCACCGATCCCAGCCGGGCGCCCCCCCCTGGAGTGGGCGCCCAGGAGAAAGTTGCCATGTGCTGCCCAGGCTCGCTCCTCCTCCTCCTCCTCCCTCCCCCTCCTCCCTCACCCCCTCCTCCCTCCTCCCTCCCTCCTCCTCCTCCTCCTCCTCTCTCCTCCTCCTCCTCCTCCTCTCCTCCTCTCCTCCTCTCCTCCTCCTCCTCCTCCTCCTCCTCCTCCTTCATGGCCTGGCTGCCCATCCTGGGCCCAGGATGGGCAGCTGGCGCCCCCCGTAGGATGGGAGCCCCTGGCCTGGGACCCAGACATCCGACGAGCGGATTCGTTCCATGCGCGGCCTCGGGGAGGGCGACGACAGCTATCCTGGCCAGGCCCCTCTTGAACCCAGCAGAGGCGCATACGCCACGCTCTCCCGGCCTGGCCAGGAGGGCGCATCACCACACAGCTCCTGGGTCCAGGAGGCGCCTGGCCGGGGAGCAGGGGACATGTACAGATGTCGCCGCCCGATCGGAGGTCCCGACCCCTTCCCCCGGGCAAGTTTTGCACCCTGGGTTCATCCCTGTGGCGCGCCCCAGGGGAGCCTAAAGATCGTGGCCTCCTTCGGGGGGCCCTGCCTTGCCCCCAAAGGAGGGGCGGGAAGAGCGGCGCGCAAGAGGAGGGGAGAGCGCAGTGGATCGATCATCGCCTCAAAAGGTCGGATGGTGTCGCCGAAGTAGAACAGGGAATGGGAGAGAGGGGAGGAGACGGGAAGGAGGGGGAGGGGGGAGAGGAGGGAGGAGGAGAGGGGAGGATGAGGAGGAGGAGGAGGAGGATGAGGAGAGGACGACGAGGAGGGAGAGAAAGGGGGAAGGATGAAGGAGGAGGAGGAAGGAGGAGGAGGAGGTGAGGGGAGGAGGAGGAGGAGGAGGAGGAGGAGGAGGAGGAGGAGGAGGAGGAGGAGGAGGAGGAGGAGGAGGAGGAGGAGGAGGAGGAGGAGGAGGAGGAGGAGGAGGAGGAGGAGGAGGGAGGAGGAGGAGGAGGAGGAGGAGACGGAGGAGGGGGAACAGGGGGAGGGAGGGCAGGTCGGGAGTCAGGAAACGGCAACGCCCGAGGCCAGAGTCTACAGGCATCCACCGCATCGGAGGCCGATGCCCCAGCAATGTGGACATCTTAACCGGGGAAACCAATAAAAAAAGACACCGCTGCTCCCCTGACCTCCCGCGGGGTGCGCTCTGACGCAAACTCAGAAGCGAATCCAGCGGTGGCGACGAGGACCTCCCAGGAGGCACAACGAAGCGAAAACGAGGCAAGGGCAGCGGTGTCGATGTCCTTCTCTGCTCTGACTGACGCCCCCCCAGGGCCAACAGAGCTGGCCGCGTCCACCGGCTGCCTGGGAGCTCGCTCGCTGCCCACCTGCGGGGGCCTAGTTCGGTCACCCTGGAAGCCAGACTGCTACCATCACCGAGACCGGGATCCTCTTCCTTCCAGGCCTGCGACATCTGGCAAAGGATGACGGGCGCGGGGGGGGGCCCTGGCGCGCGCGGCGCACCTCGTGGGCGTCGCGCACCCGGCCTTCTTCCCCCGCCGGATCGGCGGGCGCCAGGAGGCCGAGGAGAGGCACCGAAGCACCACGCCTGGATTTTAAGTCGGGCCGGTCCCCCTACAGGGGGATTTTCGACGAACAAAAAAAAAAACATATAGCCCAAAAATAGTCCAAAAATAGTCCGGGGACTCTTTTTTGAGTATTTGTTTGGCCTTCTTGGGGTATTTTTGGGGGTATGTTTTATCTTTCGTCGGAGATCCCCCTGCAGGGGGACACGCCCGACAGAAGCCTAGACATGCTGACACCTCCCTTGGGGGCTATTTTCTGAATATTTGTTGACCTTCTTGGGGCATTCTGGGGGTATTTTTCTTATTTTTCGTCGAAGATCCCCCTGCAGGGGGACACGCCCGACAGAAATCTAAACATGCTGACACCTCCCTTGGGGGCTATTTTCTGAATATTTGTTGCCCTTCTTGGGGTATTTTGGGGGTATGTTTCGTTGTTCGTCGAAGATCCCCCTGTAGGGGGGACACGCCCGACATAAGCCTGGATGGACGGGAGCCCTGCCACCGGAGGTCCTGGGCCCGCAGGGCCCTGTGGGCCACGCTGCTCCCGCGCGCCCCGCGCGCCGGCCCCCCCGCGGGCGCGGAGGCGAGAGGGGCGCTGCAGGGGCCCCAGGGACACACGAGTCAAGACGCTCGATTCCCAGGCTCCCCCTCCCCCCCAAAAAAACCTGATGTTGCCACGGACCCCGACTCTGGAGGACAAATGGGGGCTCCCGCGATGTGGGCTCAGCACGCGACCACGCGAGCCACTGTGGGGGGACGCGTGGCCTGCGAGCAAGGGAACTGCAGAGAGAAGCATGCATGCGGGCCACTGGTTTTGAGAGGTCCGTGCGCTGCAGGTGAGGTGTCAAAAAAAGAGGTTCTCGGTGCTCGTCTGCCCCGCCACGTCCCACATATTCCACATGACCCTGGGGGATCGACGATGTATGGTGGTCAGGTCGGGGGTGCCCTCCTACATGCGGGCGCTGGAAGAAGAATACAGGATAGCAACAGAGATTCAAAAGTAGCCAAAGGAGCACGAACCATCGCCCCAAGACGACTGTTCTGCTGCTCTGGAACAGTCCTCTGGCAGAGGGACGTGCCCGACTTAAGGGTATGGGCCTCTGTGTGTTTTTGTTGTCCCTCCTGATGCACGCCAGGAGGGTGGGCGAGGGTCCCAGAGGGGTCCCGACCCCATCCTGATGCCCTCCGGCTGCCCCCCCACGATGCCCTCCTGATGCCTCCTTCTTGCTCCCCTCCTGATGCCCTCATGACGCACGCCCTCCTGATGACTTGGGTGCTCATTCTGGGGACCTGCCTGGAGACACTCCCTCCACTCGTGCGTCGAAGCTGCGTCGAACGTCCCTCGATTCGAGCCGACCTTGAGTCGAACCTGAGTCGAACCCGAGTCGAACTTGAATCGAACTTGAGTCGAACTTGAGTCGAAGTGGGGTCGACCTGGAGTCGAGCAGATCCTTTAGGTGGGCCCCAGGAAGGTCCCCAAACGAGCATCTAAGGCGACCCCTCCCCGAGAGGCCCAAAATTTGGAGTCCCGAAACGGTGCGGTGACAGACCGTGCGGTGACCTCGGAACCACGAGAGACCTCACCGCACGGCCCGTCGCCGCACGGTCTTGGGACCCTGGAGGCCCCCTTGTCGCCCGAGACGTCCTCGGAGAGCGACCCGAGTCCCCGAACCGTGCGGTGACCCCGAATCCCCACCGACTCACCGCACGGTGTGGTCGCCACCCCGTCTGGGGGCCCCCGAGGGAGGCCCAAAAGAGAGGCCCCAGCGCCCCCTCCGCCCGGGGGACGCAGGCAGCGCCCCGCCCCTCAGCTCCGTTCCGGCTGGCACCATGGGCCCGACGGCGGGCCCGGGGGGCCAAGGCCGAGGGGAAACGCCCGAACTGCGAATATTCGTGTGCGTGCCCGCTGGCCCCCCATAGGCCCCCGAAGTCCGGAGCGGCGCTCTCGCTCGACAGCTCCTCGCAAGTCAGTGAAGTTGGCGGAGGCCCAGCCACGACGACAAGGGCTCCTGCTCGATACTTCCTCACGATCAACTCCGAGAGCCCCTGGCCAAGAAGGCCCCCGAACTCAGGAACGGCGCTCTCGCTCGAAACCCTCCCGTAGTTCAGGCAAATTGAACGGAGGCCCGGACACGGCGACAAGGGCTCCCATTCGACATTTCTCCATTGCGGGACCACCAGGCTGCGAGGGTGAGGATTGCAGCTCCCTGTACCAGTTGCAGCTTCCAGCTTCCACTGTTACAGTCCTGCTGTCTGCTTCCTTACTTTTAGCTATTGCTGCACGCGCGAGGGGGGGAGCCCCAGACCAGCTTCTTGCGACCACGCCCAACTCGCGCTGTCTGAACTCCTGGCCCCCCAAAAAAGCCCCCGAACGGCCCCCCCGAAGAGGCCCCAAGAGGCCACGAACGCGCAGGCACACGCCTGCGATGGCACAAGACGGGCCGGCGGAGTGAGCGAAGCGATGAAACGATCGCGAGCACCCAGAACGCTGGCGAGGCGCTGGCGAGGTGTCGAACGAGCATCGCCTCCCAGGGCCCGACGCGCGAAGACGGCCCGACGGGGGGTCGCCCTTTCGGGGCCCTCCAGTTTCGGTGCTGCCCTGGTGCTCCGAAGTCTTCCCGGCGGTCGAGGCCAAAGTGGGCCGAAACATCACAGGGCTGCAGGCTACAGAACTAACTTACCCCAAGATTCCTGTGTCCGTCGAACCTACGAAAAATACGCTGCATGCTCCGTTGATCTGCGGAGCATTCTACGCATTTGTCGCAAAGTCGACGGACACATCGATTCCAGGGTACACCCACTATGCAGACGATCCCCGACTCGAAGAGGGCGAAAGAGCCCCCGCCTGCCGGCAGCACGCAAGAGTAGCCACAGGCAAGAGCGACCTCTGGTGCGCTCGATGGCGACATCGGAACCCTGCCCCCGCCAAGCCTCGATTCTCCTGAACCGATGGGAGGCGGGTGTAGGGTTCGGATTTCGCCACGTGTTCGACGAATTCCGAACCCTACGCCCGCCGCCCATCGAGTTGCCTGAATCGTTGATCGGCGAGGGTGGGCTTCGGATTCCGCCGCCGATGCGCGGCTTTCGGGGGCGCGAGGAGCCAAACCCAAGCGCGCAAGCCGCTGCTATCGCATCGCTCTTGGGGGCCTCTTGGGGCCTCCTGGGGCCTCCTGGGGGCCCCTCGGGGCCGAGGGTTCGAAATGTCCGCTCGGGTCCCCCCATCTGGGGCCCCTCTTGGAGCCGTCTTCGGGGCCGACTTGGGCTCTTCGGGGGCCGTCTTGGGGCCCTCTGGGGCCCCTTCCGAGGCCTCTCGGGCCGGCTCGTGGCGACCTTTGGGGCCCCAGTGGGCCCGCACCACGGGCCACTCCGGCGGAGGGCCGCTCTCACGCGTGCCGCCGCATCCCTGCAGAGAAGGCGCCCCGCTGCTCGCAGGCTCCGGCCTCGGACAGCGGCAGGGGGGAACCGTCCATGCGCGAGGGGCAGCGTGAGGGGGGGGCCAGCTCGGAATCGGCCTGGAATCGACGACGGGAGGAGGAGGAGGAGGAGGAGGAGGAGGAGGAGGAGGAGGAGGAGGAGGAGGAGGAGGAGGGGAACATCGACGACCAGGGGGGAACATCGACCTGGAGTCGGCGGCACATCGCCGAGGAGCCCCCGAGTATCGCTCAGGGGTGAACATCTCTGGGGCGCGCAAACATGGATTAGCGATCCGCAGATTTGGCGCGCGGTCGCCAAATCCACGGATCGGGGGAGGTGCCCTCCCCAAAATGCGGCCGGTGCAGCCTCGCCCGGTGGCAGAAATCCGCGATTTCCCATGGAAACGGGACCCGTCGCTAATCCACGCCCCCTTTGATGGGCCTGTTTTCCACCACCACCACCACCATCACCACCACCACCATGATTTGGAGGGGGAAGGAGATGGAGGAGGAGGAGGAGGAGGAGGAGGAGGAGGAGGAGGAGGAGGAGGAGGAGGAGGAGGAGGAGGGGGAGGAGGAGGAGGAGGAGGAGGAGGAGGAGGAGGAGGAGAGGAGGAGGAGGAGGAGGAGGAGGAGGAGGGGAACATCGACGACCAGGGGGGAACATCGACCTGGAGTCGGCGGCACATCGCCGAGGAGCCCCCGAGTGCGAAGCCGCACGTGTTCCTGGGCGGGGCGGGCCGCATGGGGGGAAGGAGAAAGGTGCGGAGGCCAGCATTTCTCGAGGGGGATCCAGCGTGTGGCGGCGAGGGCTCGCCAGGACGAGCAGCGGCAATGGTACCCTTTCCTTGGGAAGGCGAAAACCCACCCCCACCCCCAGTCCCGACCCCCGTCCCCGAACCCGCGATTCAAGGAGTCGGGGCTGGGGCTGGGGGTGGGTTTCCAGGGCCCAGGAGTGGAGAGAAAGCCCACCCCCAGCCCCAGTCACGACCCCTTGAATCGCCGGCTCGGGGATGGGCGTCGGCACTGGGGGTGGGGTGGGTCTTCGCTGTATGATTCCTCCTCTGACGCAGGCCCGATCGGCGACGAACGGGCGATCGAGGATCGACGCATGCCCCCCTGAGCCCCCCTGAGATCAGGTTCTTCGAAAAGTGCAGAGCTGCGAGGAATCACGGATGGAACCACATATATAGACCCCAGCTTGCCGCGGCATCTTTCGAGCCAGATCGACGTGTGACGGCCCCGGGGCCCAGAGCTAAACAGATTCTTCGGTTGTGGCAAGATTGCAAAGCCCGGATCTCGCGGCATCCCTAGAGGAAGAAAAACTAGATAGCCATACACTTTCGACGCTCCGCGCGGATTCCTGGATTTGCGCTGGAACCCGCTGGCGGCGCCTCCGCCGCCGCCCCTGGCGCGCTCCGCGCGCCAGGGATGGAGTTCCGGCGCAAATCCAAGAAATCCGCGCGGAGCTTCGAAAGTGTATGTCGGCTACACGCAGGAGTGACCCTGGGTAAGAGTGACCTTTGGTGCGCGACCTTTTTGGGGCCGCGGGGGGACCAAACCTGGGCGCGCAAGCAGCACCTACTGCCTCGTTTTTAGCCATCTGGGGACCCATCTGTGCCCGCACCAAAAGTCGCTCCGGCGAAAGGTCACTCTTACGTCTAGTCGAGTATGGTTATGCTGCTTTATCTTCTTCGAGTCCCCCCCTGACGCTTCCCCTGACATGTGCCCCAGCGGCCGCCGTGCCGGCGCCAAGCGCTCCGGGCACGCCGGGCGCGCCGGCGAGAGCCGGGCCGCGAATTAGCGTGCAGAGCACGGCAGCCCTCCGTGGCGGCGCGTCTCTCGGCGCAGGGGCCGAGGTCGAGTCGAGGGCCGACCGACGTGCGAGCGACGAGAACCAGCGAGGTCTCGTGCAAGATGGCCCAGCGACCCTGCGCAGTGGCTCGCGCGGGCCGCCGGCGCGGCGCGCGCAGCAGCGGCAACGAGGGCGCTCCCGCGCGACCTTTTGCGCGGGCAGCTGCCGCGCAGACGTCGGCGCGGCCGACCCCGCTTTTCTGCATCGCTCCTCCGACCCCTGCCCCTGCTCGCGCCCAGACCCCCTGCGAGAGTCGCCAGAGCGGCGGCGCGACGCGGACACAGCTCCGGCCCTGGTTCTCCGCGCCCTGCCGCCCCCGGCCCCCAGACCCCCGACGGCGTGCTCTCTTCGCGACCGTCGGCCCCCGGAGGCCTGGACCCCCTCCCAGGGCACCGGCCTTCCGCCCGGAAGCGCTGCCTGACGGCCCCGAGGCCTGGGAGGGGCCCCCCCGAGAGGCCGACGATATAGCGGAAAGCCATCCGCCGCGACATGCTCCTGACCTTAGTGGGCCCTGGAAACGACAGGGCCGTTTTTGTTACCGGTTCCGTTTTGCCGTTCTCTTGCCGGTTCCGACGCCGTTTTTTTACTGGTTCCGTCGCCGTTGTTTGACCGGTTCCGGCTCCGGTTCCAATCCTGGAGCCGTTTTTTTTGCCGTTTTCGGTCGCCGCTTTTTTTTGCCGTTCCCATTTTTGAGGGGCACTTTTCTGGAAACGGTGCAGACACGGCCCTGCCGTTTCCGGGGCCCACAAAGCTCCTGACGCGAGGGGGTCCGGGCCCGGCGCCCAGAGCGGGGGGCAGCAGCAGGGGCAGGGATCGCACGTCGGTCGCCGAGGCCGAGGGCGGCGCGCGGCGGGGGCTCGAGAACGGCGGGTTCCCGCCAGACTTCTCGCACCGCCCCAGGGGCGCGGGTCCAGCGCGCCTCCTCTGGAGGGCCTCCAGAGTGGGGTCCGAGCAGATGGGGTCGGAGGATGGAGCCGCATCGCCAGTGCATCGCCGATGCCTCGCCGATGCGGCGCCGATGCAGCGGCGGCGTCGGCGTGGGGAAAGTCGGGCTCCGCATCGCGCCGCACCGCCGAGGCAGCGGCGATGAGGCGCGATCCTCCGGCCCCGTCTGCTCCGGCCCCCTCTGGGAGGCCTAGATCCTCGTGGCACTACCCAGCCAGCGCGCGCACTACATAATGCACGCGACGCGGACGAAATGGTGAGGCAAGCACATGTGAAGCTCTCCCCTGCAAGTCAGAATTCTGAAAAACCGGCCGTGGCTCAGAGTTTGAAGCATGTCTGTAACCAGGTGAACTCCAGCTGGGGTGTCCGATACCCCAGCGTCGATTGAACCCGCAAGGGTGAGGCTCGCAAGTGGTCGCAGAATGGCGGAGTGAATCCCTCAAGCGCGCCATGCGTAGTGCAACCGCCTCTGTACGGAGCCCCGCGGCAACTCTCGCGGCTCGACCAGGCGAGGCGGATGCCCAGAGCCCGTCGGCTCGAAGTCGTGCATGCGCTCCATCTGGGCCGACACGAGCGCTCGGCAAACGAGGGCCGACATGGTCACTGACTCGAGGAAGCACCGACGGCCCCGGAACGATACGGGAGTGCCGTGGCGGCGGCATGGCGACACGCTGTGCCCTGCGAGCTGACAGCGTGTCGCCCCGCTTGCGGGGCGGCTGGGGAGAGCTCGGGAGACCGACGTTACGAGGACGCGGTTAGCGTGCCGCGCCGAAGCGTGGTGGGCAAGAACCAGCGGAGCGACACGCTGAACAGAAGTCCCTGACCGAAAGGGGCCTCAGGAATCTCCGGCCCAGGCGAGCACCTCGCCTGTGAGGCCCCACGTGTGTGACCTCGTCGAACCCTCGCCTGTCGACCGCTGGCGGGGTCGAGAGCCCGCGGCCCTGGGGACTCCTCCTGGCTCGGGAAGTGTTGGGCCGACCACCCTGCTGCCACGAGAGCCCTGGGCCGAGGCCCAATTCCTGAGGATCCAGGCTCCTTCGAGCGAGGCCCCCTCTGGTCAGGGATGTGGTCCTGAGGGCCGCCGGTCCCGCAGCCCCGCAGCTGGTCCAGGCTCAGCCATGGCCGAGCGCGCCAGTAGTGAGGTGCATGGCGCGGGGAGGCGAATGAGGAAGGGGTCAAGGATCATGTCCCGATCTACTGATACCGTCGGGGCCCTGACCTAAGGAACCCTGAATAAGGAACGAGGCCCCTTGTTCCCAGAAGTGAAACTTCGATGTCCCAAGGAAGCCTAAGGAAAACCCAAGGCAAACTGCAAAACAATCAAGGAACACCGGGCCCCCCACAACGAAAAGGGTTCCTTCTTCAGCGCCACGACTGTATAGCAAGCTGTTGGCATAAGGTATGAGTAGGGTCTGTGCCATGAGATCAGCTGTGAACAGTGGCGGGCTAGGCCGAAGGCCACCACATCTTCACCCGCGCACAGAAGCCGCCACTGGCCCGTGCCTTCGTATCCCTCTCCAACCCTTGCACCAAAGCGACTATCTCCTCAGGGTCGGCGGAAGCAGCTGCAAGGCCTGCGCAGGAAAGAAGGAAGAGGCGCAACGAGATCGGCACTGGAAGTCAAGCTTCCGCCCTCTGCACAGGCACCCGCTGAAGGCGCTCCTTCCAAAGCGTGGCCGACTGAAGCGAGACCCCCGCGGGGCTCTGTGGCATTTGAGAATCCAAAAATATGCCCTAACCCGTGGCACGACGGTTAAGTGAAGTCACACCAAAGGGTCCACCCTTCCCCCTGTTTTACGCAGGAGCCTTCCCTCTTCCGCCAGGCGAAGCCTCCTGGGGGCCCCTCTGGGGGGCCGTCGTGGGACCCTCGGGGGCCTCCTGGCGGTCTCTCGGAGATATCCGAAGCGCCGTTGGGGGCCTCTTGGAGCCTCCTGGGGCCGTCTGGGGGCCTGCTGAGCGACAGGGACGCTCACCCCATTTTCGAGACTTGAATTAAGTTTGCGGCCCTCTTGGGGCCGTCTTGGGCCTCCCTTGGAGCCGTCTCGGCCATCCCTTGGGGTCCTCGCGGGGGCTCCTGGGGCTGTCTTGGTGTCCTGCTTGGCCCATCTTGGGGCTCTCTTGAGCGATCTTGGGGCCACATTGACGCCGTGGAGGCTCACTCGAAGCGAAGAGCCGAGATAGCAACACGTACTGAAAAACACTCGACAGCCTTCGAATGACTTGGGACTCCCTGGGGTATCCTTGGGAGGCTCCGTGGCCTCTGGGGGACGTCTTGTGGCCTTCTGGGGCTCTTGGAGGCACGTTGGAGGCAGCCGAAGGTCCGCGCCGATTTCGTGGATCCGCCCTGGACCCCCCTCCCTGGCGCGCGGAGCGCGCCAGGGGCGGCGCCAGAGGCGCCGCCGGGGAGGCCCGAGCGCCGATCCAAGAAATCCGCGCGGAACTCCGAGAGTGCAGCCCTGGAGGGGACAGACGCGGGAGAAAGAGGGAAGGCAGCACCCGAGCTCCGTGCACGGGCACGCCTTTCCGGCCCCGCGCGGGCAGTCGCGCGGGAGAGCGGAGCCTGGCGTATGCGGGATCCTGGTGTATACATCTTCAGTTGCTCCTGTGGGGAAACGGGGAGGAAACTGTACGGCACACCACCCCGACGTCGTCCCCGACGCTCAAAAAGTCCTCAGATTGAGAAATCCATATAAAACTATATCCATGCATAATAATGTATGCACTCTGTGTATGGAGTGGCAATAATTATGTTTCAGCTACCGCAACGGAGGGGAAAAGAGGGGACGAGGGGAAAAGGAAAAGACGAAGCAGTGCGACAGTGCAAGCCGAAGCAGCCAGCGAGGCGCAGCGGGGAGGCAGCAACGAGGTTCTCACGAACTCACTCGCAACAGCGACTTCGGCACTCGCGAGATGCATGCCAACTGCTCTCCGGTGGACTTTCCGAGCTGAAAGGGGTGAAGCAGGTCACAGATCCCCGTCTCGCCAAGGAGGCTGGCTTATCTTCACGATTCAGATCACGGACGGTGACGATTCGTCGCGTTCTGACCCGTGACTCAGTCAGACAAGATGGGGAAGAACAAGACGAGTAACAACTGCAGCAATCAGAGCAGACGGAGCAGCAGGAAGAGCACCAGGAATACACGATAGGCCAGGATACCTTATGCGTGCAACTGGGGAGAAGAGAGTGTCAAGGGAGGTCAGGAGCGCAGGCCTTAACAAGTTGAGGAATGGGCTGCTCGTCCCCGAGGGGAAACTCCTCGCTGGAGCCGACAGCGAGCCCAAATGGGCCGATGCCGAGCCTCGTCTGCCCGTGCCCTGGTCTCTAACGCCAGACAGGGCAGCCATGGGGTGTTGCTAGAAGCACCCCTGGCCCAAGGTGCCCCCAGCTTCTCGCTCCATGTTGGAGCCCCTGGGGTCCTCTGGGCCTCGTGGGGGGGGGGGCCTGGAGGTCGTGGGGGGCTCCCTGGAAATCCTGGGGGCACCTTGGGCCAGGGGCACTCCTAGCAGCACCCGAAGCGACGGCCACGAGGTGCTCGGCGACGACGGCGCCGGCTGCTGGCCCCAAGCGCCTCACCACCAGGGCAGGGTCGCGACGCTGCAGAAGTCTACGTGCGAGAACCTCCGCTCCGGCGCCCAGGCCGTCGCTCGTGCCCAAGGGGGGAGGAGGGAGGAGGGAGGAGGGAGGAGGGAGGAGGAGGGAGGAGGGAGGAGGGAGGAGGAAGGAGGGAGGAGGGAGGAGGGGGGAGGAGGGAGGAGGGGAGGAGCATGCCTGGCTGCTCTCATGGGCACCGCGACCGCGGCGCCTTCTCCCTTCCTGGGGACGCACGGGGACATGCCAGTAAGTACCAGATGTCCGCCTTGGAGGCGCGCGTCCGCCCCGAACGTATGGTATTCCCACCTTGTAGTATACTCCAGATCTCGTAATAAAAGGGAGGGGGTCTGGACCCTCCAAGACAAGCCATTTCAGACCCCCCCCCGTGGGAGAACCCTCCAAAACATCGTCCCCAGACCCCCCCAGGCCCTCCAAGATAGCCTGGAAGAGACCCCCCCCGAAATGAGACCCCCCTCCCTTTATTACGAAATCTGGAGTATCGTTTCCCGAGCGGTGTGGCCAGAGAGCGCCCGCCACGACGCATGTACTAGAAGATTTCTCGGTGCGCGCGTCGCCCCCCCTGGGGGGGCGACGCATCTGCAGCATGAGTATGTTGGGGTGACGCCGACTTCACGCCACCGGCTGCGGCACAGGTCGATCGAAGGACAATCGAGCGATCGAGCCACGGTGGCCGATTCACGGTGCAGTACGACGCGGAAGATCTGCGGGCGCTGACTATCTGCAGGATGAAGACCGTCCCCTTGGCAGTAATTAGGGGAACGAACAATGACATAAACATAAAAACTCGGAGGTCCGCGCGGATTTCTCGGATCGGCGCTGGAGACCCCTGGGGGGCGCCTCTGGCGCCGCCCTTGGCGCGCTCCGCGCGCCAAGGAGAGGGGTCCAACGCCGATCCGAGAAATCCGTTTCATGCTTATGTCATGGTTTGTTTCCATAGATACGCCCTGGGGCTGCAAGGTTTTCCCTCGACTCGACCCCTCGCCAGCCGGGCTCAAGACGCCCAAACCAGGGGTCGAAGTGGCACCTCCGGCAGGCAGGCCCAGCTGGATCGCCCGGCGATCTCGGATCGGCTCAGACCGCCAGTAGCTCGCCCCGCACCGGATCGACATCGCACCGCCTCGCCCAGCTCTTCAGCGGGCCCTGGCCGATGCCGGCGAACCGGACCGAATCTGACTACCCTCCAGCCGACCCCAGCCAAGCCCGAAGACCCGAATTTCGGGTGGGGGGGGGGACGGGCTTCATGTATGTTTTGTTTCTTCGATGCTCCCCGACCCCCCCACTGGGCAGTGGAGGGCAACATGGGGCCTGCGGGTCGCAGGAGGACATCCTCGTGCTGTGCGCCCCCCTTGGAGGCACACGTCCGAACCGAGCATGCTGCACGAGCACCGTGCAGGACACACCGTTACCCAGGAGGTATGGCCAGAGAGCGCCCACCACCAAAGCATAGACTGTAAGAGTTCTGAGCGCGCGCATCACCCCTGGGGGCCTGACGCACACATCTCGGGGGCGCGCAAACATGGATTAGCGATCCATGGATTTGGCGCGCGGTCGTCAGGGGGAGGTGCCCTCCCCGAAATGCGGCCGGTGCCGCCTCGCTCGGCGGCGGAAATCCGCGATTTCCCATGGAAGCGGGACCCGTCGCTAATCCACGCCCCCTTGATCCATGTTTGCGACCGCCTGAACATAGCCAGGAATTCCGGGGTGATGTCGACCCCACCCCACCCTACCCGTCTCCCACGACCACCGACAGAAACGGGCGCGGCCCTCTCTTGATGCGTGGCCGACCCTGGAAACCAAGCGCCAAAACACCTTGCCAGCTCTTGGGAGCGCAACTTTTACTTCCGCCAGCTTCCGCTGGCGCGGAGATGTCCAACGCCTTCGACCCTCGAAGGCGAGACTTTCGCTGGAGCGTCCCATGTGCCGCGCGCCGCTGGGCAGTGCGGACGTGGGGTCTGCGGAGCGGAGCTAAGGAAACCAAAAGATACCAGTGCTGCAACTTCCCGGACCTCTCTCAGGGTGCGTTCTGGACAGGATTTCGAGGCGAATCCAGCGGTGGCGACAAAAGCCTCCGAGGAGGCCAAAAAAGGCGAAAACGAGGCAAGGGCATACATATATATATATATATATATATATATACATACATACATATATAAACATACATATATAAACATACATGTATATATACAGAGAGAGAGAGAGCAAACAACAAAAAAACAAAAACTTTATATTCAAACATACATACAACACAACAGAAAAATAAAGAACAACAAAAAACTACAGGTCGTTACCCAAGGGGGTGGGGAGGGCTTGGTGCCCGGGTAACGGCAGCGCCCGGGCAGGGTGGGGCACGGGTGCGCTGCGATCGCCACAGCACGCACGCGAGCACCCGCCTGCGGGGGGGGGGGGGGAGGGGGCATCCAGCCACCCGTGCGCACGATCGTCGCCGTTGCCCTTAGGTCGGGCATGTCCTCCACAAGTCTAGGAGGCCCAGAGTCTTCCCCTTCGGGGAAGGGCTTGCCGCTGCTCCCTGCGAGTGGACACCCCCTCCCCCAAAAGAGGCGACCGGCCGCTCGACGACGGCAGCTCCCGAGCCACCCCCCTCCAGGGCTCGACTGCCCCCCCGCCCCCCCGCCCCCCGTCCTGGGAGCGGCCAATCATCGCACAGCTCACGCGTGGTGGGAATACAGTCGGGGCGTTGACCTAAGGAACCCTAAATAAGGAGCGAGGCCCCCTTTTTCCATAAGTCAAACTTCGATTTCCGATCGAAAACATAAGGAAAGCCTGAGGCAGGCTGTGAAACACTTGAGGGACGCGGAGCCCCTCCCCAACGAAAAGGGTTCCTTCTTCAGGGCCCCGACTGTACAGGACTGCAAAGGAAAATCGAAAATAGTCAGTACACATCAAAACGAGTCAAGAGAGCTTGAAAAATCGTCCCCTGACCATTTGTTTACGCTTTTTGAAAATTCCCCCTGGAGGGGGACATGCCCGACTCACCGCTACCCCGAGGGAGGGGGGCCAGGGTAGCGACTGTTACAGCAGATTCGTGTCGTGACGACCACGGCTTTGGCTTCTGACGCCGAGTCGATCGTTCAAACTGGAACGATCGGCGGCTTCACGACGGCCAGATCATTCCATGTTGGCCGATTCCAGGCCACTGACGACGCTTAACCTTGAACGCCGGCGCTGGGGGGTCGCCGCCGCGTCGACACGACACGGACCTGCCGCATGCGCCAGCGGATAAATTCGAAACGCCAGAGACCAAAACTCGAGACGCGCCCGACCCCTTCTCCACGCAAGGCGATTCGTTACATCAACGCTGCACACACACACACACACACACACAAACAAAGAAGGCGTTGCGAGACCTGCAGCGCTCTGAAACTCTTCGCCGAACGATGTCGGGGCACGCGCGTCGCACACCTGCGCAGGAGAAGGCCACTGTTGGAGGCCTGGAAATCGGCACCAACACCAACACAGGGAGTTGCCTACACAGGGGGAAGATGATCCTAGAGTTCGGTAGTGGTGGTACTAGTTCGGCCACCTTGGAAGCCAGAATACTACCACCATCACCGAGATCGGGATCTTCCTCCCTCGGTGGAGGCACACCGCGATCTTGGTGTTGGTGTCAACCTCCAGGCCTGCGACACCGAAGACAGCGCTGTCGGGGATCTTCTGACCCAGGTCAATCCAGACCCGGGTCAGCCAAGCCTTGCAGAATTCTGCAAGATCCTGCCAGACCCTGCACCCAAACCCGGGTCAATGCGAAAGATCCTGCAGGATCCTGCACCCAAACCCGGGTCAATGCGACCCTGGCCCTGCAGGATCCTGCAAGATCGGGCGCTCTGGCTGACCCCGTTTGCATTGACCCCCGTCTCAAGGCTCCCGACGCTGTGCGCTGCGGGACGTTCCGGCGCCCTGCGCTCTGTGCTGCAGCAG